TTACATCAACTTGAAGTGCTGGAAACATTTTTTGATACGAAGTTACCAGTGCATCAAATTTTTGCGAAAATTTGTCGAAATCTCCGAGAAGATCACCGATTCTAAGTCCATTTCTAGCAGCTTTACTCGAATACGTTGGGCCAATTCCTTTCTTGGTTGTACCAAGCGATTGTGTACCTTTTTCTAATTCCTGAAGGCCATCGACTTGTTGATGAAAATCAAATACTATATGTGCACGATCGGAGATTATTAATCGTTCCCGCCAATTTTTCAAACCTTTCGCTTCATTGCTTTCTAGTTCTTCAAAAAGACCTGGTAAATGTATTACTACTCCATTTCCTGAACAAAATTTATGAAAAATTACTATTATAATTATAATATTTAAAAAATTCTTATTTAAGAATTTATAGATAATATAATACAAATATTTTTGCATACAATATCTGAAATAAAAAGTTAAGCAGCAGTTATATATATATATATAGAAAAAAATTGCATATTCAGGATGTTCATATTTCAAAGCTATCAAAAATACTGATATTAAACATTGAATAATTTTTAAGTATTTTTTTTAAATCAATAGATTATTCATTTAATGATAATTATCTTTTATTTAAAATATTTTTTACTATAATACATATTATAGTAGTATAATATGTAGTATTATATATATATAATAGTATTTTATATATATAGTGAATAATAAATATTTTTAAAATATTTTTTTTTTCATAATGAACTCGTAAGTCATTTAGAATTTTTTTTAATGGAATCAATATTTTATTTGCAAAGAATATTAAAATAAATTTGAAAATATATAATTATAAAAATATAAAAAAAACATTTTTGTTCACTTAATACCAAATTATTTTAAAATAATTTTTTAATTGTGAATTTAATTAAAAAAAAAAAATAAAATTGATATTTAATTTAAATTACAATTTTTTTTGGCAGAAAACTATACTAATTTTATTATAAATGCAAATATGTATTTGTAATTAATAAAATCAAAGACTATTAAATAAAATCATGTATGTATATATAAAAAAAAAATTTGCTGAAAAATGATTTCAATACTAAAAAAAAAAAAAAAAAAAAATATTACAATTAGTAATAAAATTTAAAAGTAGTAAAAAGATATTAATTAAAAATAATATAGATATCAAAAAAAAAAAAAATTTTTTTGATAATAAAATGATACAAAATGAATTATCAATGTTTACAATTAATAAATGTATAAATTGTGTTTAAATATCAAATATTTATAAACAATAAAATCAATCTAAATTCAATATTTTCTTGAGATCTATCCTAATAATATTTTATTTTATCAAATATTAAATAAAATTATTTATAATTAAATTAAATAATAAAAGAAAAGAAAATGTTCTTCTCTGTTTTTTTATCTTAAAAAAAAAAAAAAAATGTTTTTCAATCTTAAAATACTAACATCACAAACAGTTCCATTAATTAATGTCACAATCACATTTATTACGAAAGAATTATAATAAATAAATAATCCTTTCATATACAAGGTAATAAATTTAGAGGTAATAAATTAAGATGGTATGACTAAATGTTAATATATAATAATCACAAATATTGCTGTATCTTAAGTAATATAATATATATTAATATATATATTAATTTTATCATAATAAATATAGATTTTAAATACAGATTATCATAATAAATAGAGATTTTCACGCAATTAAATAAAGCTATATTTATAAACTAGTTAAAAAAATTCCATTGGGAAAAGATAAATGATTTTAAAAAAATATTTTTTAAATGAAATGAAATCAATTTTAAAATATATTTTCTATATTCTATATTATTTGATATTGAAATCTTTATAAATAACAATTCAAAAAGAAATTAAATAAATCCTCCATTAACTAAAATTATTTCTGTACAATAAATCCTTTCATTAAGAAAATTGATAGTTACGAAAATAAATAATAATTACAGGCATTTAAATTGAATATAATATATTTAAGTTAGAGACCATTACTTTATATTATTATTTCATGTATAAACGTGCACTTTCATATTCCAAACACATGGATATTTAATTTTACTTTACTTTTTTTATGTTCAGTCATTCCGTTTTGAAACTTTATTAAGAGCCATCACATAATCGAAAAATAATTACCTATAACCGATGTACATCTAGGATTGATTATTCCACTGGGCAGAAGATGAAAATGGAACTCCGCACCATCTACTACTACAGTATGCCCGGCATTGCTTCCTCCCTGCAAAATTAAAATTCTTCTTTTGCTCCAACATAGCTACTATTTTTTTTATTTTTCTTTACTTTTATTTTATTTCTTTTTTTTTAACATTTTTAACATTTTATTTCAGACAAAAGAAAAACTGATTAAAATTATTTAAATATCAATTATTTCTAAATAAATATCCAAATAATAATTGTGAAGGAAGAATCAGAAGAATTTTTTTTTCCAAAACGAAAATTTTTACATATAATTCAATAATATTCTGTACAATGTATTACTGTTGTAGAAGGCATATATTTAAAAAATGCAAAGTGCTCGTTATTCAATGGTCTCTTTATATCTTTATAGAATATAAAAATATATATTTAGTTTTAGCTTTATCTTTATAAATGATATAAATTACAAATAGAAAACAAAAAATGTATATAATGTATATGTATGTAATATAAAAATAAATAATGTAATAAATAATAATAATGTCAATACAAATTAAATTAAATACAAAATTAATAATATTTAATATATTAGTGAGATATAAAATGATTTTTTTTATATGATATAATTTCCGTGAAAAATATTCTAGTTAACATTATGTTTTAATTTTTTCATATTGAATTCTGAGAGAGACTTTAATAAATTATTAAAGATAATTATACAAATTTTATATGTTAATTATTATTTTATTTAACAATTATTACTAAGCAGAAATGAAAATGGAATTTTGCTATCAGAAATTTCAAAAATTTTAATGGTAAAACAATAATTATTATTTGTTGAAGATTATTTTTTATTACTCCAAAATTAAACGTAATTTTAAACGAATGTTATACGCAAGACTTTGAATAAATCTTGACAAGGTTGCGTAATTTTCCTCTGTTAACTGTGTAATTGACTCCGCAGTTTACGACATCTACGATTGTTGAAACGTTTTGTCAGAAATGATCAGAATGAATAATATTGCTAGTAATACGTTAAAATATCTCGTTCAAAAATGTTTTATCTTTAAGAAACGTGTTACTTAAAAATTATATTTATTAACGAAATTGAATATTTTTATGAATATTTTTTTATTCTATCTATGTTGGAATAGATGTAAGATAAATGTTGAAAATAAATGAAACTGCAAATTAAAAACGGCTATGAGTAATACTTGTGCTAAATCTATCTTTCAGCATATATCTATATAACACGTGTTCTTTTTATGACGTGCAAGTCGAATATTATGAAACAAAAAATGAAATAAAATGGCAATGCCAATTGGCATCATCCATAGTCATATCAACATCACATGTGATGATATACGGGACAATGAACGTGTTAAGATCAATGTTTCCATCTTTAGTTTACAAATATGTATGTAGTTATCAAATAAAATATCTTCTTGTAAAAATGATTACTAATTTAACTTTTAAAAAATAATTATTTTGATTACTAAAAATATCAAATATTGAAAATATATTTTAAAATTAAACAATTGCAATAAAACTTCTTCCAGAAAATATTGAATTAAAAATCTTTTCATTTTTGGAAGCCAAATTTTTTGGTTCTTCAATTATTTGATTTCAGTTTTTTTTAGAATTTTATTTTATCATTAAAAAAAAGAGAAATTCTGAAAAAAATATTATAATGTAAATATATATATGATGATTTTGAAATAAAATAAAAAATTACAAGAAGATAATATTATATATATCGATATTTTACTTTTATTTTTTAATGAAAAAATTTTGATTTACTTTGTTATGATACAAATAAAAAAAATAAGATTTTACGAAAGTTAAATTTTAATGATTTAAAAAATAAAATATCGTTTATGTTAATATTAACCGATATACATCATTGAGAAATTAAATATTGTATGTCATATACATTATGTCATGTACATATATTTATAGTACATATTTATATCTACATTATATTTATATCTATTATTTAAAAATATTACTAAGACACGATTATTACTAATTTTATAATATAAATTTGATATTATGTGAATGAAATATGTTTAGCTTGTTGTTTTTAAAATATTTGTTGAATTTATATAATTTATGATACGATAAAAGAGATTATATAGCGATAAAAGAGATTAGCACCATAAGATGGTTTTGAGTTCATTATGAAAAGTATTTTCGAAATATTTATTATCATTGTTATTACTATTACATGTTGTCTATTTAATATGAATAAATTTTATATTTTTTATATTTACATTAATTTTTTTTCAAAATTGAAAAATCGTATAGAATATTAAAATTAACCTATCGCATAATTTTGATATTTATAATTTTTTATATATAAATACTCAATAATAAATAATAATTAATTATATTTGATTTTTAATTATTTCATATGATGCTAATTATATTGATATAGATTTATTAAAATTATTGTTAAAAAAAATAAAATTTCAATGGATTAAATTGCGAAAAATAAATAATGTAGTAAATTGCAATTAATTTATAAATTTAATTGTAAATTTAATGATGGAAAAGTTATTCATTAAATTCAAAGATGGAAAAATTATTATTATAGATCATAAACAATCCTGAAAATGCAAATTAAATTTAATGAATCATGCTAATTATTATATATATATTTATATATATACTATATAAACAACATATATAATAAAAAAAATAATTTAAATAAATAAATATATTTCTATAAAAATGATAAATAAGTGATTATAAAAACAATATAATGGAATGTGACAAGTATTAAATTACTAAATTAAAACTAATTAAACTTTAATCAATATAATAAAATATAAAAAAAATAATATGTAAATAAAATGAAATGCATAAAATACAAAAATAAAAAAATTATTATCATAATTATAGAATTATATAGAATATATAATGTAAGTAAAATAATAATAATATTATGAAAGCTAAAAATATTTGTATGGAAGCTTTCTAATAATTTTATAAATGTTTTGTAAACGTAATACACACACATATATATATATGGTACGTTCATATTCAAGTTTTAAATTTATGCTTTGTTGTAATACAATATTTATCAAATAAAATCATGTAATTTAATATTAGTTTCTAAAAATGTAGTCTAACCTATCAAGAAAAAGAAATTGAATAGTAATATTTAATCATTTAAATCATATTAATCATTTTATAATTATATTTATATTCATAAAAATAATATATTTGAATAAAAATTTTCACATAAATTTGAAAAAATAAGATATTCTATCTCTTTAATATTATATTATATGTAATATAATAGTCAGTTTTAAAATTTCAATGCCAATTGGAATAGCTTCGTGCGTTATGTAATAATATTATAACATATATTTTTATACATGTATTTATACTTTTATGTATATATATTGATTTTTATGCTTATATATCATATAAATCTATATGCTAACAGTTTAAGATTAAAATTATTTGACTTCAAGTCAATCAAAATAGACAAGTTTTAAAAAAAATTGAAAAATATCTTTTTGAATTTTAGAATAGAATAAATTTCTGTGTACATAAATAAATAAATAAATAAATAAATAAATAAAGTTAAAAAATAAAAAAAAAATAGAGATTTTTATTATTGTGAAAAAAAATAATATAATATAAAATTTTGATAAATATAGAATAAACTTGTTATAAAAATGAGAAATACGTAATGTATATAAATTAATTTCAGATTTGTATTCCTAAAAAATTATACTCTTTTCAATATTTAAATTAAATTATAAAAACATATAAATTTTTAATTTATTAAAATAAGAAAAGAAACATTTATAGTCACGTGACATATATGTATATAAAAAAATAAGGAGGGAAAGAAGAGAGAAAGAATGATTGCTACTATTTAAAATAAAATAATAAAAATGGAAAATAAATTAATGAATTAACATTTTATTGTAATGTAATAAATCTTGTAATTTTAAATATAATTTAAATGTATATTATAAAAAAATTCTGAAAAAAGAAAACGAAAATGAAAAAATGGCGAACTCACCTGACACCTGCAGACGACGTCAGCATCCATAGCAAGCATATCGACGACCTTGCCTTTACCCTCATCGCCCCATTGCGCTCCAAGAACAACAGTAACTTTGGTTGTAGCATTTGACACACGTTGTTTCTTCCTTGGTGATGCGAGAACGCTGTCTCCATTTGCTTGTTGAACGGAACGTTGCATTTTCGAATGTGAAAATATTGGCAATTTTTCGAGCAATTGCACAAATTACCCGCGCATGTATACACCTCGAAAACCACCGCGCGACTACTAAAACATAGACTTGATTGACTTAAATTTCTTCGACGAATGAAGAGACATCTAGAGGGAAAAACTAAAAATGATAGAAAATTGAATAAATTTATGTAGAATCATAAACAAAATATAAAATAGATCCACTATTTTACAGAAACTTGTATATTCTATGTTCTGAATTACTGATCGAGTACAGATCACAGACAAAGTATAGAATAGATTCAACACTCAATACATTTTTTGCATTTCAAGAGCGCTTTTATCATTTTATTATCATTGTCAATGTTATCGATTCCGTTCGATAGAAAGAGAATAAGATTGCAACGTTAATAATGGTTGGAATTGAAACTAAATTTTAATATAAAATTGTAAATTATAAATGTAACAAGTATTCTGTTGTAAAATATCTTATGGATATGTATGAGATATTGTATTTCATATAATTATTATAAAACAAATTATTAGAATTGTGATACTTCCACTATTATTATATTTCTTAATTACAAGAAAATTACAATTACAAAAAAAATGTTGTTTATTTGTATATAAAACGAGATTAAATTTATTTCTATTCTGAAAATATATTATAAAATTGAAAATGTAATATAATTGTATATTATTTATTATAATAAAATATAATTGTATATTTTTTATATTAAAAATTAAAACATTGTAGTATTAAAAAAGAAAAATATAATAAAAGTATACATAATTGACTCCTGTAAATATATCATTTATGGTCACACATTATGAGTAAATATAGACAAGAAGAGTAAATACTCCAAGAAAATAAGAATTGACTTTCAGCGCCATCTCTTGAATAACCTTTAAAGAATTAATTCTAGAAACTAGATAAATATAAAAGTCAATATATGAAAATATTGGTTAATTTATTTATTAATTTATAAGTAATTTAGATTTATATTAATTGAATCCAAATGAAGACAAAGTGAAAAAATAATAATATTATTACATAAAATAAGTATATATATTTTTATATATTTTTTATATATTAGTACAAAATATACGTCGTTCTTTGGCACGTCGATTTTGAAACCAAATTTTCACCTGTAATATATGTAGTTATAATTAATTTTTCTCCTTAAAAAAAAGTTATGATATTTAAAGATAGAATAATGTTTAAAAAATTAATGATTAATATATGAAACATTAAAAATACCCTATTAGGCAGAAGATTTAAAATATTTGATATCTTCAATACATCTTTTTTTGAAAGATAAGCACTATTTTGAAATTGTTGTTCAAGATAATTTATTTGAAATGATGAAAATGGTATTCGAGGATGAAGACTTGGTTTTCTTCTATTTTTTCCAATTGTTGACTTTCTAGGAACTTTTGGAGGTTTATATCTTGTATATCGAAGCCATTCTAATTCTTTTGTATTTTTCTCGATATTTGATAAATTTGCATAATATTTTTTTTCATCATATTGTTTGGAATTCGTTTCACATTTTTTTTCCATATTTATTTCACTTTTTCGTTTAAAACATTCACTATTGCTTTCACTGAATTTATCATTTCTACACCCACTATTTTTTAGATAAATTTTTTCCATAATTTCATATGGTCTTGTTAAATTCAACATAGAATCTTTTTTAATCGATTGAAAATTATTTTTTGTATTTATTTCAACAGTATTAATATTACAATTTGTTACAAAATTCGTTTCATATTTTTCTTTTTGAAAATCAATCTTATATGTTTTTGATACATTAGATAAAGAATATTCTTTACATTGATTATTTTGAAAAAATATGTACGAGTCTGATAAAATACTTTCGATGCTAAAATCCTTCGGTTTTCTAACCGACTTCATGTCGAAACTTCGACTGTGGTTGTTTAATAAAATCCTCTTTATATATGGCTCTCCATTACATGCTACTATGATCACCCCAAATTTTAGCAACTCGTGGCTGTTGAAGCTCGGTTTCGAATTAAACGCATAGTTGAACACACGATGCTATCTTGCCGGTCCAATATAGTATACAGTGACTTTCAACTTAAATTATTTTTTTTATATAATATTCTTATTATAATATCATCTATGTATATTTAAAAAATATAAAATGTTTCCAATTTTTATGCATTTTCATAATTTTAAATAAGGAAATTAAATACTAAAATTTATTATCATAAAAATTATGAATATTTTTATTTAAATTTTGAACTTCGAATTAATGAAAAAGCTATATAATTGATATTAAGAATTTGTGAATATTAAAAATTTAATAAGTCTTACGAAAAAAAGGAAGATATAAAATGCAATAAAATAAAATAATGAAAATAAAAAAATGTAAAAGAATTGAAAAATTTAGTTGATAAACACTGTTCGATTGAAAGTACTTGAAAATATCACATAATCCAGAATATATTATCCACCAAATATCGATCCATGTTCTGCTATAACAATGTAATTGATACTCTTGTAGGGAAAGAAGAAAAAAACGAACGAAGCGTATGATTTTGAATAGACCAGATGCGATACATGAACTTCAATTAGGAGTTATAGCGTATTTTGGATTATCCGATAAGCAGACTAAAGAGGAAAAAGTAAATATTTAGACATTTTTATATTATAAAAGTGTAAGATTGTTCACTTCAACGATATCAAAGAAAATATATTGCAAGAAATTTATATAAATTTTTATATATAAATTAGATTTTTTATAACTTAAAAAATCCATATATTTTTTTACATATTTTATACAAATTAAAAGAATATATATATAAATAGATATTTTTTCTTTATTTTTTTATTATTCATTTCCATATTTCTATTATTATTATTATTATTACCATACATTCCTATTTAAATAACTTTTAAATTAATCTAATACGTTTTTTAAATTTTATCCTATTTGTTAACAAAAATTTTTTGTCGATAAGTTAGATAGCGATCATAAAGTTTCCGAAGACAACGCCATCTCGCGTTTGGATACCCGAAGCTTCGACTTGTT